CAGGGTGCTGAACTGGTTCTCCAAACAGTCTCAGCATTGTGGATAGCTGCTCTAAAGTTTGAAATAAAACCTAGAATAGGTTCTCTGCACCCTGACATGGAAGTCACCAACTGCTTTCAACAATAGATTCAGGAGGTAAACAAATGCACATCATTATATGGTGGAATATGGGAATAGCTAGGGCCCTGGATGTCTTTGAGAGTGGAGTTAAATAAAGTCATGGTGGAAAAATGAGTTAGTGGTTACTAGACCTCATGATGACTATATGTTGTCTTCAGCTTCAGAGACAGCATACTAATAAAACGTTGTTAGAGAACAACTGTGTTTGTGTAAGTTGTTTTGTACTTGGCAGGAATTTACTTGGTCATTGTGAGAAACAGGATGTAGCATCAGAAAGGTCTTTGGTCTGATCCAGCAAAACTTCTGAACATTAGAAATGGTAGTAGCTGTTCGATAGTCTTGGTGGTTGTTGTGATCTCTTTCATTTGAGATCTTTAAATAGATAGCAATCTCTCAAGAATACTTTGGCCATTTCTTCCTGGAAGGCAAGGGGTTGGACTAGATGGCCTTATGGTCCTCCCAACTCAATGTTTATTTATTTATTTACTCTATTTATACCCCACTTTTCTCTATCCCGAAGGGGACTCAAGGCAGATTTCCATATGGCAGCAATTCAATGTCTTTGGACGACAAACAGAATACACTTAAGTTAAAAATTAAAATTAAAATTAAATACATATTAAAACATATAAGACATTGCATTCACTATTAAAACCACACTATCCTCAATCATTTAATAGTGAACCATTGCATTCAGTATCACACCATCCTTCCATGTTTAAGAAAGACATGCCGTGGGACCGGTGCTTGCAGGACTATTCACATCTCAAAATGACAGCTCTGTTGCTTGTTTTAATGCAAATGCTTTGGCCAACGTTGAACTCAGTCAAATTTATTTTAGGTCTAATTTCTAACAGGGGAGTGTTCAGCTATTCCCAGCATATCAGACATCTGCTTTCAGATGTTCAGAAGGAGCCCAAATATTGGGAACATGGAGAGGAGAACCACGTTCCCAGGGTATCCCGGGTGTATGAATAAGGAAATTATTTCTCTCTGCTCCTCCCCCATTTCCACTTCTCCTCCAGTTTCTCAGGTTTCCTTCCCATGTCTTTTGGAAAGGCGAGTGTCCACACACAAAGCAGATGGTGTGAATCTTGGCCAGCAAATTGCTGGCTTGCTGGCTTTTGCTGGCAAGGGCTGCATGCATCTGTTGTAACTTTTCCTGCCTTTGGGGGCAATCTGCTCAGACCTTGAGAAGCCAGCAAGCAGCGCAGCCAGGAAGGAGGCTCGGAAGGAGCAACAACTGCGCTGCAGGCATTTCCAGGACCAATCAGCCTCATAAGAACGAAGGGTGTCTTTTATGGATTGTTAAAGGAAGGTTAGAGAAGTAGTTGTGAAGAAAGGCAGGTAGGCCTGTCCAGTTTATGACCCACCAGATCAAACACATTCCAACAGATGTATTTTGTGGCCTGCCAGTTTACTGACATCCCTTCCATATGTGTGTACTTACTGTCCTGCCAATTGGTGCCTTTGAAACATGTGCATCATATATCCTACGTTAAAAGAGCTGTAATGGCAAAACAAAAAGGAAAGAAAGAAAGACGCAGAAAAGGAGATGAAAAGACATCTCTTCAGTGTCTGCTGTCAAATATCCAAAGTCTAAATTCTCCCCAAAATTTGAGTATCTGCAAAGTTATCTTTTTGGATCACAACTCCCAGAATCTCTAAGCCAGAATGCCCACTAGATTCAAGGGTTCTAGTGGTTGTAATTCCTCAAGAGAGGTGTTTTCCAAGCTGTTCCACATTCATGATGCATGCCATCAGCCTAGTAAAACATATTTATTCATCCCTCCCAAGCCTCCATGGGAAAATATCAGTGAAGACCTTTGGCCATTGATAATTTCGTTCACATGAAGCTGCCTTCCTGTTTCCTCTGTAGTTTTCAATTCATCACTCTTTGTCTCTCTAGGGCACGTGTTCAACATGCCCCATGACAATGTCAAGGTCTGCGAAGAGATCTTTGGCAGGCTGAAAACCAACCACATGATGTCTCCCACGCTGATCCAGATTGACCGCATCAACCCATGGTCAGCTTGCAGTGCAGCCATCATCACAGACTTCTTGGACAGTGGACATGGTAAGCTGGGGATGGGACATAGAGAGTTGAAAGGAGACCAACAATAAGGGGGATCTATAGGGACAAGGACTGGGTGGCTAATATCTCCTGGTGTATTTCTTAACTATCAACATGCATGAAACTAGCAAATAAAAAAGTAATACTTTTATTAAGTGGTTTACACCAAGAGGGCTTTAGATACTTAGAAATGCAAAATCTAAATCCTGCTCTAAACAGTCATATGGTTTTAACTTTGAGTATGTTTTAATGGATTTTGACAGGATTTTAAAATACTGTTTATATTTAATTCTGTTTTAATGTTTGCATATTTGTATATTTTAATTTGTATGCGAATGCTTTTATGTTAAGCCACTTCGGGAGAGATAAAGCAGAGTATAAATAAGTTGTAGTAGTAGTAGTAGTAGTAGAAGAAGAAGAAGAAGAAAGTGTAAACATATGACATCAGTTTGGCTAGATTGCAATGGAATTGCTTGAAATCTCCATTCCATTTCAATTGGTAGATGTTGTCTATGACTTTTGTATACTACCTTTCAATTTTAATTTCTCTTTTAGGCATGATTAAGGTTGGACCAAACCCTATATTGTAAATATTGCTAATAAACTCCAAATTTTCTAAAAGCAAGATTAGGAAGTAATGTATCATCAGAATGGGAGGGAACTTGTTAGCAGCACAGTTTGAAAAAGTTACATTTTAGACTTCAATCCTTTGGATCCTCCAGCTCTGTTTAGCAGATTCAGTTGCTGAATGGGCTACACAAAGGGTCCTTCTTATTATTTCTGAAAACACAGTCTCTATGCAGTCTGGGTTGCCGCACTTTTCAAATGAGTTCTTTTTGCAGTTCATCTGAAAGCACAGCTTTTGATTCTCTCAGTTATCTCATCTAGTTTCGTTTGTGATTGGAACATCAGATACTGAATCTCAGCCTGAAGAAAATGATCCACTTCTATGATGCCTTCTTTTTTTTGCTGAGCTCTTTCCTGCCTTTTCTAGGTGACTGCCTCTTGGACCAACCCACCAAGCCTATCCCATTGCCTGAAGAACTCCCTGGCACCAACTACAACCTCAACCAACAATGTGAGCTTGCCTTTGGTACAGGCTCCAAACCCTGCCCTTACATGCAGTATTGCACCAAGCTGTGGTGCACAGGAAAGGCTCGTGGCCACATCATGTGTCAGACACGACACTTTCCTTGGGCTGATGGCACCAGTTGTGGAGAAGGAAAGTTCTGTCTGAAGGGCATCTGTGTTGAGAGACATAACATCAGTAAGTACCGGGTGAGTACCTGACTATTCTGTGCTGGGGATGTTGCTTGGGGTACGGATGGGGTTCTGTTTGCAAAGGTTTAGGTTGCTACACAATGGAGCTCCAAATCATGCAAAGAAGGTGTATACAAAATGTGGGGAAAGACCCAGTTTGTTTCAGCTGCAGAATTGGGGTATGCATAATTTGTGATTTAAAGGCTTCTCGTATTAGGTAGGATGAGACAACAGTTTGAGTTGGCAGATATTGGGGAAAAACAGTGGAGCTCCCCAAATGTTCCTTCTGAGCTCCTTGGCTCTTCTGCCCTCTTGTTCTGCAAAAAGCTTGGGAAAAAAAATACTATTTTAGACTATAGCCCCCAAAGGCTAAGGATTATTTGGGAGATATGTAAATTTCCATTTGGTTTTGTTCTCTATTTTAAAATGACTAACTTTACCTTTTCTTCTCATTGGAGAAAATTACAATTTTCTGCGTACAATGTTTTTTGTACACAAAATAAAACAAAAATGAGTAAAAAGTCCAGAATTACAGAATACCTTCTTGTAGTTAACTACGGGATGTCTTTATGTAATCCTTTCAGAGGGTATGCTTTAATTTTTTAAAATTTTGTCAATTGTTTTAGGCTTTATTGTAATGTTATATTTAGTAAGATATCTTGAATTTCAATCTTGTTGGAAAAGATGGGGTATAAATGAAGGTAATGCTTCTGAATATATGACAACACACCCCTTTTCACTAAATATTTGTGTTTTTGTCATTATCGCTTCCCTGGTCACACAGAGAGCATTGTTTATAATATCCAATAAGTACCAAGTATGGCTAGATTTCAAGATGTGACACATGGAAGTTCCTGGTTTTGAAGATGAAGACTAGGAAGTGCTAAAGAAATTGGATGGAATGGTTCAGATGAAGCATTGGAGATAATGGGTGTAGGCTTCTTGTCCCCTTAACCAAATCTATTCTTTTTAGGTGGATGGCAATTGGGGGAAATGGGCACCTTATGGCCAGTGCTCCCGGACCTGTGGTGGAGGGGTCCAGTTGGCCAAGCGCGAATGCAACGACCCATCTCCCACTAATGAAGGGAAGTACTGTGAAGGGATTCGAGTTAAATACCGCTCCTGTGGGCTGGACCCCTGTTCTGATTCAGGTAAGTCCTTGTTTGAAGGGAGATGGTATAGTTCAATAAATAATAGGAAATCCATTTTGTATTCTTGAGTGCCTGCATTCCTAAAGCTAAGCAGGCAGAGCATACAGGAAGATACGATTTCAAAATAAATGAGAGCAGTTGAAAAGACCCGGAGAAGTTGGAACCATAAACCTTCCTTCAATCACCTGGGCAAATGGCAGTGAAATATTGGAATGTCAGCAACCGTCAAATATTTCAGGTCATTCAGAAGCAGAGCCACAGAATAACTCTTCATTGTCATATAATAAATTTTCCTGGTGGAATAAAATACTATCCCTGTTCAGTCACTTTGCCTTAATCCAGGGTGAGCAACTGTGGCCCTAAAGCTGTTTGCAAATGACAACTCCCATAAGTCCCCTTGACTATTTTGGTTGAGATCGATGGGAATTCTAGGCCAAAAATTCAAGAGGGACACAGTTTCCTACACATGCCTTAGGATGCAATGCTAACTCACCATTATCACCAAGAGCCAGCAGAATTGATACTGGGGCAGCAGAATTTGTGTTGAGGTCAAACCCTTCCCAACCCAAGTATGCTAGAAAATGATGCACAAGGCTAACCCTTTTGTGGACTAATTTTCTGGCTGAAAAAATATCAAAAATTTCATAGAGTTTTCTTAGGCCAGGAAAAAGCAGTTTTGCTACTTCCTGCCTTCCTATAGCACCTGGTATTCATTGGTTGCCTCCCATCCAAGTATTGACCCTGTTTCGATTCCAAGGTCAGACAGGACTTAAGGGGGGAGGGGGGGTATTCCTGCTTTTGTGACACAACCTTAGAATATGTTTTGCAGAGACTGAACTTCTGAAAGGAATTGTTTTCTTATAGTTCCAGGAAAGAGCTTTCGGGAGGAACAGTGTGAAGCTTTCAATGGTTACAACCACAGTACAAACCGGCTCACTGCCACAGTCTCCTGGGTCCCCAAATATTCTGGAGTTTCCCCTCGGGACAAATGCAAACTCATCTGCAGAGCCAATGGAACAGGATACTTTTATGTCCTGGCACCAAAGGTGAGTGGGAATCTCTTGCTACTGGTTGCTGTCATTGTCTTCCAGAGGGACACAGAATGGAGACAGAAAACTAAAAACTGTGAAAAGTTAATATTATTAATATAATCACAAAATAAAAATGTCTTAAAATCTAAGTGGGAGTGACTTTACATGCTTCCTAAAATGTAATAAAAGAGTGAATTGGTCCCAATTTAGATCAGTGTTCTCAACCTGTGGGTCCCCAGATGTTTTGGCCTTCAACTCCCAGAAATCCTAACAGCTAGTAAACTAGTTGGGATTTCTGGGAGTTGTAGGCCAAAACACCTGGGGATCCACACCTTGAGAAGCACTGAAGTAGATGTGATGCTACCATGAAATACATTGGTTCAAAAGGTTGGCTTCCAGCACATTGAGTGGCTATGGACATAGTGGTCACATACATTTTCGTCTGACATGTCAGAAAACGAAGCCAGTTTAGTATGAGCAGATGGGAGTGGTATATGTTTCTGTGTGACCAAAGTAACATAACATGCTTCTACCCTACCTTGGTGATCTTCAGGTTGTGGATGGTACGCCATGTTCTCCAGACTCTACCTCACTATGTGTCCAGGGGAAATGTATCAAGGCCGGTTGTGATGGGAAACTTGGTTCCAAAAAGAAGTTTGACAAATGTGGAGTGTGTGGAGGAGACAACAAAAGCTGCAAAAAAGTCTCTGGCTTGTTCACCAAACCCATGTAAGTGAGAAATGCCCATCCAATAGCCACCTAATTGCATTTAGAAGAAGACACTCAGTATAAGATTTAATTTCTAGTGTCCTTGGGCAAGTGGAGCAGAAAAAGATCCCTGCCTGAAACTTTGGAGGTATTCTATATGGAGATAGGTAGATTATGTGTAAGGAACATTTGGATTGACTTATACTCCAAGGTATCACAAATAATGAACAAATAATGAACTCATTAAAGCAACCGATTCAGAATAATTATAATATGCATTTTGCTTTAACTTTTTGGAAGATGTTTCTGATTAACAGTATTTAGTATGGAATGAAAATACTAAACATTTGCATGAGTGGTGATGAACAGCATTAGAAACAGATGAGGTGCCATTTAAAATTCCCATGATGCCTTGGAGTAATGCTTTGAGGGGAGTATTACAGGAAGTGTCAATGGTGGATATCAGACTGATGGTCAACTCTGACTAGCTTGAAAGCTGCACTGTCTAGATATTATCTACATAAGATCTCTGATGTGTCATTTAACTAGTTCATATCTGAGTGGGTGTTTGTTTTTTTTAACCTTCAAAGGCATGGCTACAACTTCGTGGTGCTCATCCCAGCTGGTGCTTCTAGCATTGACATCAGACAGCGGGGCTATAAGGGCCTGATCAGCGATGACAACTATCTGGCTGTGAAGAATGCACATGGCAAATACCTCTTGAATGGGCATTTCATTGTCTCAGCTGTAGAAAGAGACCTCATTGTGAAAGGCAGCGTGTTGCGTTACAGTGGAACGGGGACAGCAGTGGAAAGCCTCCAGGCCTTTATGCCTGTCCAGGAACCTTTGACTATCGAAGTGTTGTCTGTTGGGAAGATGACTCCACCTCGGGTGCGCTACTCCTTCTACTTGCCCAAGGAAAGCAAGGAAGACAAGTCCTTGTACCGGAAGGATGGGAAGCGCCCTCCGGTCCTCACCAACAGCATCCTCAGCTTCTCCAATCGCCTGGACACAGGCCGGCCGGATTACAAACGGCCCTCTTACAAATGGGCCACCACCAGCTGGGAAGACTGTTCTGTCACCTGCGGCAATGGGCTGCAGAAGCGCATGGTCATGTGTCGTGACACCCTTGGCCAGCTGGCGTCCGCTTGTGATGCCACTCAGCGACCCGTCGATATCCGGATATGCGGAGACCCATGCCCCACCTGGGAGGTCTCCCCTTGGTCATCCTGCTCCAAAACCTGTGGCAGGGGGTTCAAAAGGCGGATGCTGAAATGCACAGGGCGGGGTGGCAGCCTCTTGCCCCGGGACCGCTGCAACCTCCGGAAGAAACCCCAGGAGCTGGACTTCTGCACCCTGAGGCCATGCTGACCGGGCTGGACCCATTTCTGACTTAGGTGTAATGGTCAGCATTCTGGTTCTTGATGATGCAGTGGTGGAAAGTGTACAAAATAAAGATGTTGAAAAGCCTCCGAGGGGAGGAAAGGGAGTTGACTGAATGGAGGGGCGGGGTCTGTTACATAGCACATTTCAATAAACAAAAGGATTTAAAGTGGTCATAAAAAAGAGAGAGAAAGAGGGAGAGTGTGCCAACAAGACAAGGCTGAATAGTGGGGTTTGGAGGATCCAGTCACTCAGTGGTAAAGCAGGAATAAACAACTACCTCGAAGTTGCCAAATCACCCCAAATTCCGTTACAGCCTAGTGGTGCATTCTTGGGGTTTGAGGAGAAAGAAAGGCAAGACCAGAATTGGGAGAAATTGCCGTCCACAGATTGGACCAAAGACAGTCATTCCTAAGAACTATGGGCCCGTTTTCCTTCAAAGAAAAAGGGGGCATCTCTTGTTTTCTGGTGAGAGGGAGGAAGAAGTTTGGTTCCCACCCTCTTGAGCACCCTAGTCTTAAAGTGGACCCTAAAGAAGCACTGTTAACACCTGCAACAAAATGTAAGGTTGAACAGCTGGTACCACGTGGTACCTCCAAGGGCTACCAGCAAGTGACCCTCAGCCCTGGTGCATTGCGGGTATCTTGGCACACAGTTTGCTTGTTCGTTTTGTTTGTTTTTGACTCTTGTGCTTTTATGAAGGGCTGACAACCAGTCACTGATTGGTAGCTTTATTTCTGTTAACATTTATGGACCAAACAGTATACTTCTTTAAAAAAGAAAAGGTGCTTAACCCTGTTTTCTCTTGGACCTCCTTGGTGGATTTAGTTGCCAATTTCCCTGTGCCATACACTGTTTGTGGAAGTACATTTTATCCCTCTTCCTTACAAATGAGATTGAGAAGGCTCAGAGTCCCTCCCTCCCTTCCTTCCCACATGCCTTCTAAATTCGTTGTTTTGTCTGAGTGTCCCACTGTAAATTTATGCAAAATCCCTGTGGATCTGAAAATCCCTTCATCTGCAATGTTTTACAAATTTCTCCAGCCAATTATGTACTGAGTATGCAAAATCCTAATGGTCAGGGTAATGTTCTTATGATGATCCCTGTGTGTTACTTGGACCATTTGAGCAGCATATTACTGAGTAGAAATGACATTACAGTTGCTATAATTCCTGAGACCAAATTGATGGGTGTGCTAAGTGTGAGACAGAAGAGATTCCTTCCCTGCTAGACTATGGCATCCTCATCTAGGTTCTTAACTGGTAGAGTAATATTGCATCTTAAGAGTTATTTCTACCTTAACTGTCTGAGTTGGAATATAGCGGTTGTTGCTTACAATGAGCAAAGTGTGGCTCACATGTTGCTTGTAACCCCGAGGTCATTTTTGTATTTTATGGGGTTTTCCCAGATGCTTACTCCCCATACAAAACAAAATTGATTTGTTCCTGAAAGTCTTCAGAAGGAGTGATTTCGTGCTACAAGAAGGTGCAAGGGCATTTTCAGCATCTGTGTGGAAGCGGGGAGACCTTGTTTTCTTTTGCTTGACTGGAAATGAAGTTCTGATTGTTTCCAGGTTTGAAAAAAGAGGGGGAGAATTGACATTTTTGAAAAAAGGATGCAGCTGTACCAGGTGGCTGAGGGACCAAAAGGGCCCTTAGGCTGATGTTTTCTCTCTATAGGCTACAGAAAGATAAGGAGGAACAGGTGAGATGTTGCTATGTGGGAAATCAAAAACAATCAAATGCTTCTTACCCAGGCTTCAAAAAGAAGGAAGTACACCACTTCGAGTCCCCCCAGGGGTGAGAAAAGTGGTAAATAAATATAGTAAATAAATACAGAAATAAATATTTTCCCCATTGCCTCTAGCAATGGAGTAGGATTGTTCTACAGGTCAAAGGATGAGTTATTTTCAGATATACAATAGGGGTTGTTCTACAAAATGTGACTTGCTGAGCAAAGTGACAACCTGTGAAATGCTGGATTGTGTATACAAATTGTAAAGGTCTGCTTCAGATCATTAACGTTTCAGTTTGTACCTCTACAAAACCACCAGTGGGTTTTCTTTCCAGAAAGTGTGTTGTTGTTATATCCAGGAAGATGTACCAATGTAGCATTTGCCACATGTAGCAAAGGCGACTCTTCTTTTCAAGATGGTGCTCATTTGATGAGTATTTGAGGGAGGGCTCCTGGACACTGAAAGTGCTAGCAACCCACACCCTCCTTAAAATTGTTTACAAGGTTTTAAAGTTGTATTAAATATCATAGATGCAATGGACTGAGATAGATTGCCTCCTTGTCTATGCCACAGACAGTCAAAGTGGCTTGAGTACAATCAATAGATGAGCAGTGATGTTAAAAGAATTTGAGAAGGGGATGAGTCCTCCCTTCCCTCTGAGATTCTAAAGAAGCCTATAGAGAAACTTGGTCTCAGTAAAACTAGACTAAATGGGAATTCTAGATCGGCTGATCGGATTCGGAGATCATTGTGTAGCACCCCCAATTCAAGTATCATAATTTAGATTCTCAACAGATCTTGCTCACCTTTACTTGATATCCATTGTCTCCTTGATCTCAGGGATGTATTGTGCCAATCTAGATCAGCCTGTAGCATTCAGTCATTGACTATGAAACACCATAGCCATATGTTACCAATGAACAGGAGAAAAGACAAATGATTTTGATACTTATGGGCCTTTCCAGGGCATATCTGATCATCCAGTATGGTGACAATGATGTCGGACTAGATGGATTATTGTCTTGATCCAATATGGATCAAGACAATAATCCATTTTTTCAGTAATGCCCTTGTCCTCTAGAATGGAGATGGGGACTGTACAGCCTTCCATTGCCTGTATCATAGCTCCTAAGCAGTAGTTGTGCTATCTAAAACTAGTGACAGTTGGAGTTTAATAAATTTTACTCAGTCACACAATCGCCTTTTGCTTTGGATGCTAAATGAATCTTGGATAAACAAGTCATCCAGGTAGCCCAATGCTCTTTGCTTTATATGATGCTTTTGGTCAGTCTAGTTTCTAATTATACACAAGAAAGGCATATCAGTTTTATAACCAGCATCACAGACATTGTTTCCACATCACACTCCTGGGGAATTTGGGAATAAGGAGTGGTGACAAGTCCATTGTTTCCATGTCTTGGAGGAAGGAAGAGATGACTAAACTAGTTTAAATCTGTGATGTACACACACCCACAAGGAGAGAAAATGGAGTGGAAAGAGTATTCCTCACACAATGAAAGAATTAGGTAAGTTAAGTTCATGGAACTGGGCAACAAAATTATGTTATAGGCATCAATGTCCATAGTCAACTTTGTGGTACATTCTAAGCCCTCAGCAAATTTGTACCTGTTGTTTAAATATGTCATTCAGCCTTAGCAGTATTAGCTTTCTTAGCCATAGGTACATTGGAGATAATGCATAGTTTTTTTTCAAGATCACCAAACTTCATCCTCCCACAAATCTTTATACAGTTGTCGTCAGAAACGGATTTATTTCCAATTTATTCTTCTTTGGATCAAAAATGAGAATCATAATTCTTTGTTATCAGGATATTATATTTCCAAATAATACCACCACTAAAGATCCTGTCTCATGGGGTGAAGAGGGTAACGAATCTGGCTCTTGTAGTTTCAAGTATCAACTGAATCTTTTAAAAATGTTGGATCATGCTCTACTAGTCCTCCAGATGTTTCTTTCCAAAGATACCAACATAGCTGTTGATGCTTTAAGTTAAGGGTGTCTTTTCAGATGTTTTGATCTGCAACTCCCATCAGGACAAGTATAGGTAGCCAACAGTGAAGATGCATGGGAACTTCAGTACAACAACAACTAGTGGTCCATGACCTTCCCACCCAGATCTTTAGGTCCTTTCCACATTGCAAACCAGTGCTGAATTTCTGTCAGTTTAACCAGGTTGGTTAAGTAGCCTCTTGTCCAATCTTCTGTGATGATTAAGAAGTGATTAGAAAAATAAACTTGACCAAAGTTGTTTCTTTTGTTTTCCAGTTCAGTGGTTCTCAACCTTTGGCTTTTCAGATATCTTGGGCTTCAATTGCCAGAAGTCCCAGCCAGCAGTCAGGCATTTGGAAATTGAACTTCCAAACAACTGTAGGCTCGAAGGCTGAGAACCACTGGGCTGAACCATAAAGAAATGACATAGAGACATGTAGCATCAAGAACTAGGACACTTCATAGACATAGCATGATGAATTGTAGCTGTGGCTTCATTCCAGAATCCCGGAAACGGTAACTGGTGCTTAGGAATCCATTAGTGATCCTGGTTTTGTACAACTACAATTCCCTGGAGGAGGATAGTGAAATATGTGTTATATACTATAGGCAGGTTATAGTATCTTTGCCATGCCTTGAAAATGCATTATCATTGTCTTTTCTGTCTTACTCAGTAATGCCTTGATTGGTTACTGATTTTCCTAGAGGACCAACTAAAACATTGTAGGACCAAAAATAATTGATTTCCCCTAAACTACACAGCACTGACATCCTTTTCCATTGCGGTGTTATTTGGGTAGGGAGGGGCTTCTTTTTTGTTTTTCCAATATGGTTCTTTTGCAAAATGTACAGCAAAAGGATGGGAATGCCGAATGTACTGGCTGCTTTGTGTATACCATGTATACTGTATGTGGGTTACTGCTGTTTGTGTGTCAGTGGCAAACCTGAAATAAAATTTTTAAGTATTTAAACAATTTCAATGCTGCTGCACTCTTTGGTTAATGGCTTGTGTAATAAACTCATGACATACATAGTAATACTAATGTGAATAATTTATTATTCAGTTTTCACTGACCAAGATGTTTTGTGTGCTTGACATCCAAGTGAGCATAATGTTTAAACAGTGCCTATTTAAACACACATAAACAAACTTTGAGAGTGAAAAAGAGGGATGCTCTTGGAAAAGAGTGACAAACCTTTCAGGTCACATGTTCTTGTGGAAATCTATATACTACTACATTGACCACACAAAGGACATATGCAAATGTTAGGTGGATGCATGCTTATGTATCTTCTTCTTCTTCTTCTTCTTCTTCTTCTTCTTCTTCTTCTTCTTCTTCTTCTTCTTCTTCTTCTTCTTCATCATCATCATCATCATCATCATCATCATCAGAATTCAAAGTGGTTCACAATTGAAAAGAACAAAACAATAAAAACATACAAAAAGTATGTTAAAATAGAAATATAATTAATTACAATATTAAAACATCTGAATATTAAAATAGAATATAATTAATTACAATATTAAAACATCTGAATAAAAGAATAAAGTAGAATTAAAAAGATATAGAAAACTCTCTAAAATAGCGTTTCTCAACCTGAGGGTCAGGACCCCAGGGGGGGGGGTGTCATGAGGGGGTGTCAGAGAGGTCATCAAAGACTACCAGGAAACAGTATTTTCTGTTGTTCGTGGGGGTTCTGTGTGGGAAATTTGACCCAATTCTATCATTGTTAGGGGATCAGAATGCTCTTTGTAGGTGAGCTATAGATCCCAGCAACTACAACTCTCAAATGTCAAGGTCTGTTTTCCCCAAACTCCACCATATTGAGCATTCAAGACAAGTTTGTTCCAGATCCATCATTGCTTGAGTCCACAGTGCTCTCTGAATATAGGTGAACTACAACTCCAAAACTCAAGGTCATTGCCCACCAAGCCCTTCCAGTATTTCCTGTTGGTCATGGGAGTTCTGTGTGCCAAGTTTGGTTCAATTCCATTGTTGGTGGAGTTCAGAGTGCCCTTTGATTGTAAATTAACTATAAATCCCAGCAACTCCCAAATGACAAAATAAATCCCCCCCCCAACCCCACCAGAATTCAAATCTGGGTGTATGAGGCATTTTTGCCAAAATTGGTCCAGTGAATGAAAATATACCCTGCATATCAGAAATTTACATGACAATTCATAACAGTAGCAAAACGACAGTTCTGAAGTAGAAACCAAAATAATTTGATGGTTGGGGGTCAC